TTGGTGTGTGTGTGTGTGTGTGTGTGTGTGTCTGTGTGTGTGTGTGTGTGTGTGTGTGAAGTGCCAGTGGGGGCAGAAAGAGGGTGCTGGGTCTCAGAGAGGTGGAGGTACAGGTGATTGTGAACAACCTGATTGTGGATACTGGGAACTGAAACTAGGTCCCCTGTAAGAACAGTATGTGCTCTTAACCACTGAGCCATTTCTCCAGCCCCTAAATCTTAATTTTCTAAAGAAATAAGCATCTGTAATGACTTTTTTTTTCCCCGAGGATGTTAGGTACTCTGTTTGCTCCTTCAGATTCTCTTCTGGTTACTGCATTAGCTTTTTCAAATGGAAGTGATTCAAAGGATGTCTCAGTTTTTTAATTAATATAGTTTCTGTGTGGTTATTTCGGGTCTGGGTGGCTGGGAATGAACAAGCAGTCTCCGACTACAACATGGTATGTGACTTGAGAATTAAAAGCAGCACAAAGAAGGGTAGCTGAGTAGGGACAAGGGTGACCTCAAATAAATAAAGCTCTCAGTTAAGAAGTCACCATAAAGCTTGGTAGTGGCTGCTCAGGCCTTTAATCTCAAGCAGAGGCAGGTGGATTTCTTATGTTTGAGGCCAGTCTGGTCTACAGAGAGAGTTCCGGGGCAGCCAGGGTTACACAGAGAAAAATCTGTCCTGAAAAACCAGAAGTGGGGAAAAGGCATCTGTGGTAGTTTGAATGTAATTGGCCTCCATACTCTCATAGGGAGGGGCACCATTAGGAGGTGTGGCTTTGTTGGAGGAAGTGTGCCACTGTGGGGGCGGGCTGTGAGGTTTCCTATGCTCAGGATATTGCCCACTGTCTCAGTTGACTCCCTGTTGTCTGCAAGATGTAGGTTTCTGAGCTACTACTCCAGCACCATGTCTGCCTGTCCATCACTATGCTCCCTGCCAAGATGATAAAGGACTGAACCTCTGGAGCTCTAAGGGAGCCCCCTCGATGAAATGTTTTGTTGATGAGAGTTGCCATGGTCAAGGTGTCTCTCATCACAGCAATAAAAACAGTAAGACAGCATCATAGAAAGACTGTAGTTGAAAAAGACTACATACATGAATTAACCAACATGTATCATTCCAAACAGATTAATTTTCCAGTAAAAAAAAACATAGTATGAAATTTGAATTATTCTGAAGTCTCTAAAGCTATGGCTTCTACCTGCTTTTTGCTTTTCAGTTTCTGTGTTGTGTGAAGTGGGAGGAGCTTTAGAAAACTCCACGGAATGATGAAAACCAGTAATTACTTTTCTTGATATGTGAAGGAAACAGTCCAGATTATGAAGCAGCACTATAAAGCTGCCCTGGAACTGTTACTGGGAATGTTTTCACCACAAAGTGTAGTCTGCAAAGTCCTGATTTTCCATAAACTCTCAACCCTCATCAAAGACACAGCGAAGTTTGAACTCCGAATGTGTGGAGAATCCTAGGCAGCATCCTGAAGCTTCTGACCATAGAAAAGATACAACAGGCCCCTCTGGCTTGATGGCCCATTACACTGATGTTCCACCCTTCGATGCTATCCTGAAAATATCAAGTTCAGTCTAAAGATACTATAAAAGCAATCAGTGAAATTCAAGTAAACCTAAAAGAGATTAAAAAACAAGACAAGCTATATTTAAGAATGAAAATATAAACTAGAAGATTCCTCCTTAAGCCCACATGTAGGAAAAAGAGAGTAGAAGAGTAAACATGCAGAGCCTTGGGCAATTGCAGCATTTATGGCTGATGGGTCTTAAAATGTCACTGCCACTAAAATGCACTTCTAATCCAAAACCAAAAAAAGACAAAGGGGTATATATAATTGACATATCTAAAAGGACATAGTAACTGTACATTTCTATGTGTTTTAGTAATAAAATAATAGAAATGATAAATTTATACTATCATTAAATATTAAGCTAGTTTTAACTCCTACCATTGTTACTAAAAGAGATATCAGCAAATAGATACAGAAATATGAACACCTGTTGGCCGTCCAAAGCTAGAGACTTAGTCTGTTTCTTTCCACACAGCACTCCAGTGTTCAACACACAAAAGATACATTGGTGATATAAGCAGGACACTTATTAATAAAAATTGACTTTTATCTTTACTATACACTCCTCAGTTATATAAGCTTATAAATAGTATACAAGTTCATAAACTTGTTAAGGAACATAGAATGAAAATTGACTTTTATTTCTCTTACAGAAAAAAAAACGCTCCTTTTAAATACAATAAACTCAAACATTGTGATAGCAATTTGCCTTTACTAAAATTACAGCATCACACCATAATCACACACACACACACACACACACACACACACACACACACACACACATATAATTGATTCCACACTAAATATTTGTAGTTTAACTTAAAAAATTGAAAAAATAGGAACTGGAAATATATTGTACATTTTTGCCTGACATTCCAGAAACCCTGGGTTCGATCCCCAACTGGAGGGGGGCGGGGAGATGGAAAGACTATGCCTAAGCAAAGGAAAGTTAGTCTATGTCGCCATCTTGTGGCCTTAGAATATAATTCCGAAAAGAGAAACTTCTCTAAGGAATATGAATCCAGCTCCAGAGTCCTGCATGTACCTGGCCTCCTACCAGCTGGGCTAGCAGAAAATCCACGTAGCTGCTTCCAACTACACAGTTGCACAAGTCTAACCTTTGAACAAAACAAAGCAGGAACACCACCAAGGTCATTGTTCTGTTTGCCAGCATCATAGGTCAACCACCCTGCAACTGCTACCTACTTGTTACTTGACATGTACAAATGTATTTTCTTTTTTAAATAAAAAAACAATCCTTTCTCATTTTACATTCCAGTTCCTACTCCCTTCCCTCCTCAAGCTCCCCCTTCCTTCCCCCCACCTCACCCCCCTATTCACTTCCCAGAGAAGGTAAGGCTTCCCATGGGGAGTCATCAAAGTCTGGCAAAGTGATAAATTTGAGGCAGGACTGTTGGGGACTGCAGACGCTCAGACCCTAAATTTTCTGCGACCCCTTGCCAGCCAGAGTAAACAATTTGTCCAACTTGTCTTCCTGTGCTTGCAGCTGCTCTGGACACAAGACCCTCATGAGTTCCTGATGGCAGGGGAGTTGTTTCTGGTGGGCTTGCAGCTGAAAAAATCCTGAGAGCTAGGGCATGGCCATTAGTCAAGAAGAGCCCTATTTAAGCTGCCCTGGAACACACAATAAAACAGGCATTCTTGTTTCAGGGATGAAAAGAGAAGTTTCTCTTTTTGGAACTATATTCTAAGATCTCTCTCTCTCTCTCTCTCTCTCTCTCTCTCTCTCTCTCTCTCTCTCTCTCTCTGTGTGTGTGTGTGTGTGTGTGTGTGTGTGTTTCAATTTCCACCCCCTTGCTTGACCTGCAAACTGTCGTGTGGTAGACAGGTTATGGTACGGTACACAGGACCAAGGCCCTCCCCCTTGGCTGAGCAAGATATTCCTCCATAGAGAATGGGCTCCAAAAAGCCAGTTCATGTACTAGGGATAAATCCTGGTCCCACTAACAGTGGCCCCACAGACTGCCCCAGCCACACAACTGTCCCCCACACTCAGAGGGCCTAGTTCGGTCCTATGCAGGTTCCCCTGCTGTCGGTCCAGAGTCAGAGAGCTCCCACTAGCTCAGATCAGCTGTTTCTGTGGGTGTCCCCATTGTGGTCTTCACCCCTTTGCTCATATTATTTCTCCTCCCTCCTTTCTCCTGGACTCTGGGAGCTTGGCCCAGTGCTTAGCTGTGGATCTCTGCATCTGCTTCCAATCATTGCTGGTTGAAGGTTCTATGATGGGAGTTAAGGTAGTCACAATCTGATTACAGGGCAAGGTCAGTTCAGGCACCTTCTCCACTATGGCTTAGGGTCTTAGCTGGGGTCATCCTTGTGGATTCCTGGGAATTTCTCTAGTGCCAGGTTTCTTGCTAACCCCATAATGGCTCTCTTAATCAAGGTATCTCTTTCATACAGATGTATTTTCAAAAAAGTCAAACTAGATGAAAAATAATAGAACATGGTCAGAAAAGCTTTACACACTGGTATGAAAAGTATAAATTCATAAAATATTTTGATATTATTTAGTTAAGATTAATATGCACATAACTTAGAAGTCAGCAATTCAAGGGGTGCACTCTAGGGCACAATATACACAGAATCAGCAACTCAGTACTCTAAAATGAAACGAGAACATGACCATTCCTGGGTGTGGTTGAGGAGAAGATTTTCACTGTAGATTTGAGGAAGATAACAGCCAGAGGCATCTGGAAGTGTCGGCACTAGGCTTCAGGTAACTGGGATGGGTCAAAGCTGTATCTCATTTGGAACCAGCCTTATCCCCTTTGTTCATAAAAGACAGGAATAAAGTGCAATTTTATCAGGACTTGTGTTTTTATCAATAATAGTCATAGATATATTTACAGCTGCTGAAATATGTCAAAATCCCTTTTATGGTTATGACAACTTCAAATGCTTGTCTTACCCCCTAGATTGTTATTTAATATCTCTACAAAGAAGCAAGTGTGGTTTTCAATAACTTACCTTTCTGTTAGACGACGTTTACTCAGTGTAGTTTTTTTTAGAGCTGTATGTATTTGCTAAACACGCTTTAGGAGTTTAGAGGATCACAAGATTTCCAAATGTTTGCGACACTAAAAAGGTTTCTAATCCCTAACGACCAGCAGTAAATAATGTGTGTACATTAGTAAGGTAGTCAAGAGGCTGTTTTCTTCAGGGAAATTATTCAAGATATTGTGATCAATTAGCTATTTAACGTGAAGTGTAGAGCCACTAAGGCAGGGTACCTGAGAATGAACTATCTCTCAAGTGAATATAGTTGGAGAACCCTAGAATATGCTCAATGAAGAACACCCACTAGAAAAAAAAATAGTAAAAGAAGCTTCTCTGAGGGCGAAAAATCAGAGGCCGTCGGAGGTCTGCTTTCACACCACACAGAATTACTTAATTTCAGTCTCCCCGTGTGATTTCAGGCCCGCGGCCCACTATTCTGGGCTCCAAAAAAATTAACCCATCGCTTGGGGGCCAAAAGGGGGACAGGGGTTGGTCAACAGGGATGCTGAGCACTCTGATAAAGGTGAAGGCTCACGGGCCTTTGCCACGAGGTCACCCCCACCCCCAGATTTTAAAACACCCAGGTTACGCACTACATTCAGCTCTTAGCAAGCACCCAGGATCCAGAACCTTGTAGAACAAAAGCCAAGCACAGAAGTACGTGCACTACAGAACGAGCGCCCGGCTCCTGCGGGAAGGGGCGGGGCCGCGCCCTCGAGCCCCGCCCAGTCAGCGCGTACCTAATCGAGCGGGGGCGCGCGCCAGGAAGCGCGGAGAAGGCGAGTCCCAGCACCCGGCGGTCTTCCCGTGCGCTCCAGGCCATGCTCGCGCTCCGAAGCAGCCTAAGGAAGGTGCTGGCCCCGCGGGCGCTGGCGCCACAGGTAGGGGACGCGGGGATGCGCGACAGTCGTGCGCTGGGAGGTAGATGCGGTCTTTAAATCGTGTACTATCCGGGCTCAGGGAGGTGGGCGGGGTCCGTGGCGCCTGCACGCGGCTTTGGGGAGGTGGGCGGGGTCTGGTGCGCGAGTACACGCCCTCTGACCCTCTGGCAGCGGTTGGCACGTCTAGCCAATGTCCCGGTTTGATCTGGAGCTGAGATCTCTTGAGTCCACGGCACCGAACGCTTGAAGAGGTGCCCGCTTTTCGGGTCACCTCCTCAGAAGCTGGACAGAGAGAGCTTTTTCTGGCCCCCGGGGTCATCCCTGAAGCCCTGACGGTTGCGGTTTTTGCAGCCACTGCCCGGTTCATACACGGGCACTTTGTGGAGAAACTTGAACAGGAGACCAGGGTTGCCTTGGGAGCATCCTGTCCTGCAGTTCCGGGAGTCCCCAAGCCAAGCAAGGCCCTGGAGCCTTGTGAAGCTGGCTGTGTCTGTAATGGGACTTGCATGAGGCTAGCCAGCCTCAGGGGTTGACCATGGCTGTTTGACTTGAATGCAGAGAGGTTCATGGCTTTCTAGGTTCAGGAAACGCGTTAGCCTGGTCTAGAGACAGACTTTGTGGTGAACACTGAAACAGAGCATAACACATAATACAGCCTCTGCCCTTGCTGCCTTCCTATGATGGTTGAGGATAAGCCCCGATTTTGAGATAACGGAACATCAAGCAGATTTCTGCCTTGGCACAATTTGGTCCAGTTCTGCAGCACTGAATGACCTCACCTCTTAACACACACCTTTTCAATACAGATTTCTTTAACGTGTACTTTCTTGTGTGGAAGACTGTAGTAAGTGTCTTTCCACAGTAATTTCTGCTCTACAAATACGGACTTCTTGACTCACTCTAAAAGACTGTTAAAGTATCCCATGATTAATTTTTTTATGACCGTGTATGTTTTTAAGCATGTGGGTTTATTTTTTATGTGTTTGTGTAGTGTGTGTGTGTGTGTGTGTGTGTGTGTGTGTTGCTCAGGGGGGATCGGAAGAGGGCGATGGATCCTCAGGGACTAGTGTTAAATACCATTGAGAGCCACCATGTGGATACTGGAAATGGAACCTAGGTCCTTTGTGAGAGCAACAAGTGCTCTTAACTACTGATCCAACTCTCCAGCTCTTATTATGTGTTTTAACCACAACATGAAGCAGCTAAAGTATGATTAAAACACAAAAAGCTCCTGCCACACAGGAGCACAAGCTTAGTTTTGTGGGACAACAGAAATATAACTCATAGTCATGCATCAAATGAGCCCCTGCATACAAGCAGGATTTATTCATATACTGTTGTGTCTTGTAAACAAAAGTTAAGGCCTGTTGCTTCATAAGTGATCAAGGTAAGCCCTAATCTGGTCATAGCTCTACTTACCAAAGTGGTTTTGTGTTTTTTTTTTTCTTGTTTAATTATAAGAAATGGACTTTGGGGCTTGTGATGCCAGGCTTTTAAATGTTAGCATATTTAAATCACGGTACAATTTGGGAAAAAGGTTTCCAGACAACGATCATTTCGACTCCAGGTGTGCAATAAAGCTGAAGGTATGACCACTTAGAAATTCCTTTGCAAAGTACATGTGACAATAAGTGTGGGTTCTATAGCTAAAGGGAATAAATAGAATCTAGTGTGCTCTCTGACCAATAGCATAGAGATCAGCAGGCCATAAAGTGCATGTGACATCTCCCCTAGGGATGGGGTTAACTGGAGCTAAAGATAACAGTCCAGGGAGAGAGGAGTTGGGATAATCACCTCGGGGAATTGGGTGAGGTCTGCCTCCACAGATAGCACAAAGGTTGTTAACAATATCTATTCCAGCCTTCTGGGCAGAAGGGTATTTTATCACCTTCATTGAGGAGAGGCCACTGTGTTTTGCACGCCCAGCTCCCTAGTGCTCTGTGGGCGCAAGGACCTTTGTGCCCCCAACAGGAAACTAATGTTTCAGAGCACCCTGTCTCCTTGAGTTCTCCCCTTTCAGCTTTCATGCAGCTCCCCACGGTAGTGCAAAGCAACGAATGACTCACACCTTCCATTTTCTGACCAGTAATTTACTTCACTGAGTATTTTTTTAAAAGTTTAGATCAAAATAATAATGCTCAATTTTTAAAAACCCCAAAAGGCCTTCTGCTAATAAACATGTTCATCGTGTCTCTTAAAAAAAAGACATAATACAAAATTTGCAAGCTTCTTTTAAACAAGCAGTACTGGTGACTACTGATTTTGACTCAGCAAGAGAAAAGTCCAAAACTACAAGGCTCCTGGTCATAGTTCCCTAGGAAACAGGATCACAACCTTGATGAAAGCTTACCAACAGCTTTTCGTAAAAACGTGCTTCGCCCTGGCCCCCAGCTAGGACACAAGAACTCCGCACTCGGTGTACTCAGCAGCTGTTACCTAAACTGCATCTCTACAAAAACATGTCTGTCTATACAGAGTAGACAGGAGGAATAGAAAGACAAGTTTTGAGTCTACTGTATTTCCTTTGTTTCCAGGCTCAAATATATGACCGTTAACAGCATGATAAATCTTATCTTTTCCAAAATATTTGAATGTCCCCTGTCTTTTTTTCAGGTGTGTTCACCTTTCGCTACAGGCCCCAGGCAAAGCGATGGGACATTGTATGAATTTCGCACCTATTTTCTCAAGCCCTCGAAGACGAATGAGTTCCTGGAAAATTTTAAGGAAAATGTTCACCTTCGGACAGCTCACTCTGAATTGATTGGCTATTGGAGGGTAGAATTCGGAGGCAGAACAAACAGAGTATTCCATATTTGGAAGTATGGTATGGAGCACACAGCTTGTTTCATGCAAATGTTCATCGTTAGGTGGTCTGTGAAGCTTGGTTCTTTAGTCTGTTTGACTGCACATACACACAGGTTAAAGAAAACATTTGAAAGCAATACAGTAACAAAGCCAAGTAAATGATTCAGCAGCCCCTCTGTATCTTTTTATCAGCCACTTGCTTAGACTTTGAGGTTAACATTTATGGGAACATAGCCTCTCATATTAAACCCTAATTTGATGAACTGAAGTTAATTCTCAAAGTTTTCGCATCGTTTGTTAGGAAAAATATCGTTTGTAAAATTAAAATCCATGCTTTTCTGTCTTGTTCCATAACGGAGGTAAAGGCAGAGGAACTGGAGAAAGGTCTCCCGCTGAAGATGACATGGAAGAAGTACAAGAATCTATGAAGTTTCTTACTCCTGTGTCTGGTCCTCACAGTCTGTAGCAGGGCCTGTGGGCGCCCAAAGAATTCTTAATCATTTCCCTTTGGGTTTGTCCGATCATCAGCGTCCAGATTAATTTTTTAAAAAAACGATTCTCTATGAAAATTGTTCATTCTGTACCTCATATAGCAGTTCGGGACTTTTCCACGCTGTAATAGATCAGACCTCATTAAAATTAATATATGCTTCAGAGAAGGTACAAGTTAAGTCATGACCCACTAAGAGAATGAACAAGAGCGAGAGACTCAACACAGTTTCTGCTCACAGAGTGCATTTTGTTTCACTTAAGTTGAAACTGGTTCCTGGTGTGCTTTGACGTGACTGCCTAGCATCACTACCAAAGCGTTTTTCTCTCACCCGGGACTGTCGGTAACAAGTTACAGTTGAAGAGAAGAGCCCACATCTACTGAGCACCAAGTGCTGATGTCTGTTCTAAGGGCTCTTCCTGGGTTCATGTAATCCTCACCCCAAACCTGGAGGCTGATATTATATCCCCGTTTCACAGACTGAAAAACGCACAGTGACGTAACTCCTGCACACCTCTGAGTGAGGAGCCTGTGATGCCTGTGCAGTGAGGTCACAGTAACTCCTGCACACCGCTGAGTGGGGGAGCCTGTGAAACCCGTCCAGTGAGGTCACAGTAACTCCTGCACACCGCTGAGTGGGGGAGCCTGTGACGCCCATATTGCTCCATTTCTTTTACCCTAAAGACTTCAGTGCTTTGATGCAAACGTCACATCTTTGCAAGTGCGTGTTCCCAAGAACACAGTGTTCTTGTGTGCCGTGGATAAAATGTTTGCTTATTTGGGTGGAATCCAAGGGGGACTAGATAATTTTAAATAAAACAATTTAAACTTTTCTCCATTCTTTTTTCTACCGTAGATAATTTTGCTCATCGAACGGCGGTTCGCAAAGCCTTGGCCAATGATAAGGAATGGCAAGAACGATTCCTCATCCCAAATTTGGCTTTCGTTGATGCGCAAGAGGTTGAGATTACCTACCTGGTACCGTGGTGCAAAATAGGAACACCTCCAAAGGAAGGTGAGTTTTTCTTAGCCTCTGTGAGTTTTCACGCGTGCAATGGTCTAGATGTTAAGTGATTTAAAAAAAAAAGTGTCACTGGAAAAGAAAAAATGAATTACTTATTTTCTATAGAAATGCTGCTGTGACTATTGATAAAAAAAAAACTGATCTTAGTTTATACTTAAAAAGTGAGAATTAATTAATGAACTATTTCCCCAAACTAAGATGTATATGTGTATGTGTGTGTATATATACGTGTATGTATATGTGTGTTTGCATATATGACTGGTACCTGTGGAGGTCGAAACGGCATCAGATCCTCATGGAACTGGAATTACAGACAGTTGTGAACTGCCGTGTGGGTGCTGGGAATTGATCCAAGTTTGTTGCTAGAGCAGCAAGTGCTCTTGACTGCTGAGCCATCTCTCCAGCCCTTCCAAATGAAGTTTCATGGGTTAAAGCTTAGCTACAATATAGAAAAAGTCTGTATAATACTAAAGTAATGCAAACTTCTATTCACTTACTCGTTTTTAGGGTTGGGAGGGTTGAGACAAGGTCTCAGAATGTAGCCCAGGCTGACCCCTAAATCACAATTCTACTCCCTTAGACTCTCAAGTAGAGATTATAGAGATTTACTACAATTCCTGTTTAAATAACATCAATATAAAATTACTCTCCTCTAGCCTGGGCTCTGGGACTCACCCACAAGGCAT